CGAAACTTTTTCTTACACTTTATAAAGTGGAGTTTTTTCTTCCACTTTATAAAGTGGTACTTTTTATTCCACTTTATAATATAGAACTTTTTATTACACTTTATAAGAAGAATATTTTTCACGTCTTGAAGAAGCTTTTACAGTGTTGTCATATAAATTATATTGATTTGATATGTCATTAAAACAAAAAAAAATATTTCATTATGTATTTTTATTATTTTATTCTGAAAAATCTATTTAAAGACGTTTATGCATAGTTGATAGCACCTACAACATAAAGTCTTCTATATTTGTTCATTTCAATCTAAAAAAAATATCTTCTACACCTAAAGTTAAAGTTTCAATTTATTGGGATGGCGAAATTATACATGACGAAAATACCATTTATTTTAATTGTCCTCCCAAACACAATGCTAAATATCCAATAAATGTCCGATATCATAAATTTATTTCATCAATTTATAAAAGAATGGGTATAAACAGTACGATTATAATTTGATTATAGCCGGAAAATACCCTACTTCATTTTTATCACAAGGACAAGTAAATTTTAGAGAGTGAATTATATATAATGATGAATCGTTGACTGACTTTTTAAGGGTTCCAAATGACTATATAGATCAAATCAAGTCAACAATACTTGGAATCTATGTTAGGAAGGAGCCTAAGATTAGTCAACAACGTTCTCCTTTATCGGTCGATGTTCATCCCTAATTAGAAAATCATAATAGCATTGATGGATTTCCGATAACTCAATCTACTGATTTTCCTAAAATGACTCATTATCAAAATACTCTTACCAGCCGATATGATTTTGATTTAAACAAAACTATCAATGATAGTGATCGATAATGCTCAATTATTATATTTCAATTATTGTTTGTTGATTTTGTCAATTATTTATTAATTTATATTATTTGTTATTCTTAGTATTATATATTTTGTAGCGGTTTACCTCAGCAAGATAGGAATATTGCTCCAAGTTATGGACTAAATAATTATTTTGGTCAGTCCTCACACTTTGAAATGACGGAAAATGTTGAGACATCCTCAAATTTTCATGTCTCGCCTACTTTTGATGCAGATGATTATCACTATGTCTAACACTTATTTTTTAAAGTGAATTTTTGATGCAGATGACCATTTTCAAAGTGATTTTTTTTGAAGCCATGAGAAAAAGGAGAGAAGGTGAAGGTGAAGATAAAAAGGTAACTTTTTATAAAGTGGAAGAAAATCTTCCACTTTATAAAGTGGAAGAAAATCTTCCATTTTATAAAGTGGAATAAAAAGTTCCACTTTATAAAGTGAAAGAAAAAGTTCCGTTATATATTAAAAATAAACGTTATGACAGTAACGGAAAACGTTTAGAAAATTAGATATAGTGGAACTTTTTCTTCCACTAAGCTTATTTTAGTTACTTACTAAAATAGTGGCTTATTTTAGTTACTTTTATATTTTTGTGGCTTATTTTGGTTTCCAACTTCTGAATTTTTGAGTATAGCTCACAAGATCAGAGTTCTATTAGCTTTTCTCTATTATTTTACGAAAGTTAGAAGATGAAATAACTTAACAACATATAACTCACATATGCATAGCTAATTCCTACACGCACAATTAATCTATGCATAATTACTAATGTTCACATAACTCTAACTATCAAGATAAAAAAATTAAGAGAAGTAAACTTGAAACTTGTCGAAGAAAAGAATTTATTTATGAAAAGAACACTTATTATTTTTAATAGAGTCTGTCCAGAAGAGAAGTAAGGAAGAAGATAATTTGTTTATGAAAAGAACAATTATTATTTTAATTAATAGAGTCTGAATGATATTCAAACTCTGTTATATATATGATTCATTCAGACTCATTAAGATCCATTAAGAGATTTTCTAAAAAACGAAACAAATGGACTTAATAAAATGAATTTTAATGATTAAGATTCAGACTAAAAATCAAATGCACTTAATGAGTTGAATCTAAATTATTAAGATTCAAATCCTTATTAAGTTCAAACAAATGAGGCCTAAGTCTGTATTCGTTGGTTTTGGTTAAAAATAATTATAAATTTGTGAAACAAAATTTCCAATGTGATTTTAGCAAAATGAATGAAATGATGCCATATCCCACTTCTAGATTTCTTTGTTCTTATTAATCATTTTGTATTTTGTAAAAGTCCGCGTAACCATGTTTGGTGTTTAACTAGTACTTGTATATATGTTGAGGTTGATACTTCTTTAAACTTTAGTTAAATAGAATTTGCCTTTTTAATTAAAGTGATTAGGTTAAGTAAGAATATGGAAAGATTACATCTTATAGTAAATGACGCATGCAATGAAGTGTTTTGACTTAATTTATGCTCCTAGCACAAAATATCTCATTGTATTTTCGAGGATATGCACATTTGTTAGAAAATTCTATAAGGTGATTAATGCACCACGAGTGTGGTCGTGGTCAATGAAGTAGTTGAGAATTCTGAGGTTTCAGATTCAAAATTAAGTGGAGACAAAATAAAACAGTAGGGTGATTCTTCTCATCTGTCTTAGCCTTGGTGGATAGAGTTACATGATCATTGTTGCTGATGCGAGATGATAGATATCTCTGAAATTAATTGAGGTACGTAAAAGCTGCCCCAGTCTCTTATACAAGAAATAGCTTAATTTTTTATCAGTTTCTTATACATGATTTATCAATCATCAAAACATCATATAATCTTGAATGCCGATTCAAAGATGATAGTGCTTTAATAGTTTCTTCCTCCAATTTCGTCATGATTGCACACTCAACAAAAGAACTGTTGGAATATCATGTCCTTCTTCACTCATATGCTATTTTTGAATTAGACATTTGTGTATTGTGTACTATTTAATTTTTTCTTGTTTTGAATAAATGAACAATAAATATGAGATCACGAACCCTTTCCGAAGAATATGAAAATAAAGTTGGAATTAATAAGATTTCAATACCAAATATAGTCCATAGGTTGAGAATAACTAAGCACTACTTAATGGACAAATGAAGGAAGATTCTAGACGTCTACTAAAAGGTTTGTAACCATGAACATTGACCGATTGATAATGTCTTCCTCCAATATTTTACGTACCTTTATTGGTGGATTTGGATATTAAAAATAGCAATCCTAGTTGGAAAAACTTGTGCATCCCACACGTCTATTTACATATTTAAGTTTTCCTAAAGTTACCATAAAAAAAGGATATATTGTAGTCGATGAGATGCTTTTTCATTAATCAGTGATTTTAAGTTCAAGATGCTAAAATCTTTAATAAGAAACACTTTTCAATATATGTAAACCAGTACTAATTTGAATTTATCGAGATCCAATACTATCGATCCAATGAGTGTCATAGTGAAATGGAGAGCTGGTTATGAAAGTTGCATCAACATATCAACCTCTTATTTTTAACATTTATCATCACTTAGGCACTTTCCTTTTAGTGGCTTACATCATATATGCAACATTGGCTTCTTTCCACCACGATGGGGCAATGGACCGTCGTATACCACTTACAAAGTGAACTAGCTAGTGATGATGGACCCCTCTTTTCTTTTTTTTTAATCTTTTTAAATAAAAGGGTCAAAATATTTTCTTTAACTACAAATTTAATATCAAATATATTAATTTAATGCATGCATTTGAGAAATTTAAAAGGTCAAATATACCCTTAAACAATTAAAGTATTTCAAAGATACTCTTTGAACAATTAGAAAAGTCACAATATGCCTCTATGTGGTTTCCAAAATTAGTGCAAAAGCATAGTTGAATGATTTTTTATTGTCCAAAGATATGTTTGAAACAAATGATAACGCCATGAGTTGATAGGTTAATGAAGGACAATTATAGGATAAATTATTATTATTTTTTGATGACAAGAGAAATTAACAACTGTTATTCTTTGGAGACGCACTGGGTAAAATTTTATTCCTATACAATAGCTCGTAAATCACATAAATCATCAATATACTAGAACATTTTTCATCGTTTTCTTTTAGTTTCTTAAAGGAATAACACATAAGCACGTTTGAACTATGATCGAAATTCCAGCGATAAAATTTTAAGTAATTAGGGTCTAAATTATTATCCTCATAATTGGACACATGTCGTTGATGGCTGCACTACCTCCATTTTTAACCTCAAAGTCTTGAACTTGATTCGTATTTCCCATTGTAAACGGTTTATCCCTTTAATGGTCGTACCTTATACACTAGTGTTGAACTTGATCAATATGCAATAATTAAACATCACAAAAATTAAGAAAAAAATAATAATGAACGTTTACAACTCAGACTTAATAATCTAGTGATATGTGTGAGAGTCTTCTAAACATGTGTGTGTATATATATATACACACACTCTGTTCCAATTTATATCACTTTTTATGTTTTGAGAGTCAAATAGTTTCAGTTTGGCCAGATTCACGTGGAATATTCAATTTTTAAAAAATGAAATTTCTATATTTGTAAACTACGTGAAAAGTACTCAGAATAATTGATAATTCAAAATGTTTAAACTATCTATAAAAAATATATGGTCAAAGATAGGCTTATATGACTTTTGAAATTCGAAAGGTGACATATAAAATGGACGGAAGTAGTACATTTGAAAGATATATATCTAAAGTTGAACACCCTTGACAAAAGTTATGCCTTTGATGTAGTAATAATGAGTGTACATTTGAGTGCAGGAGTTCTGATCTTAAACACCAAATATTTCTTTTTAATAATCGCACATCAATATTCTTAGATATCTTTTAAAAAATTTCTAACTCTGCCGCTACACCTTTTCTATAAATTACATTAACTTGCTATCGCTAAAATTATATTAATTATAACATAAAATATCCTTATACTAATACAATCAACTTATAGTAAACGGGACCCCCAATGTAATGGACTATAATATACCCACATATATTTTTAAAAAAAACATCCTATCCGTTTATGCCTTTGATCATGAGTATATTTTCCACTATAAATATCATCCATGTACATAAACACTATGTACCAACAAAGTAAGTGACTCAAAGAAAAAGGCTAAGCTAGATATAGCTAAGGAGACAACTCAAAAGAGAAAAAGAGCAAGAAGATGGCACAAGAAGCTATGAGAAAAGGACCATGGATGGAACAAGAAGACCTTCAACTTGCATTTTATGTGAACTTGTTAGGCGATCGACGATGGGATTTCTTAGCCAAAGTTTCAGGTTTTTAAGGTTGGAGGGAGACATATAAATTAGGTAGGCTTGTCTTAGACATGAAATCTTATTTTCATTGAACAAATTCTAACTCTTTTTTTTTTCTACATACAATTTTTTGTATTTATGTTTTGTAAATAGGTTTAAGAAGAACCGGAAAAAGTTGTAGATTACGATGGGTGAATTACTTACATCCTGGTCTCAAACGTGGAAAGATGACTCCACAAGAAGAACGTCTTATTCTTGAACTCCACTCCAAATGGGGAAATAGGTTTGACTATACATACTTCAAACTTCTTTTATGTGTTTTAATTTCTTCTCGTTAACCGCGCTATGAATATAATATAATTAAATTCCTTTATGTACTTAGATGGTCAAGAATTGCGAGGGAAGTATCCGGGAGAACTGACAATGAAATCAAGAATTACTGGAGAACTCATATGAGGAAGAAGGCTCAAGATGAGAGGAAGTTAAAAAAAGCATCATCTATTATTTCTCCATCTTCATCCTTCTCTAATACTTCATCTTTCTCATCTAATAGTCCTGATGTGGATTTCACACCCATTATGAAAAACAATGAAAGAAACTTCTACGATACAGGTGGACTACAAAAGAAAGTTGTTGATCATGATAAAGGAAAAAACATGAAGGTATACTCTATGGATGATATATGGAAAGACATTGAATTGTCAGAAGAAAATGAAACAAAGAGTACTAAACAAATTATGTCATCACCTATATGGGATTATTGTCCAAACACTCTATGGATGGCTGATGATCAAGAAGAAAATAAGATGTTTCCTATGTTTTATTGCTTGGATAACCAGGATATATAACACAATTTTGGCTAACAAAGGGTTATTTGTTTGAAGGCTATTTGTTTTTTTTTTGAAGATAGTTGGTGTAGGTATTGAAAGATGAGTTTGTAGCTCTAACATGTTAATAAAGAAAAATAAGATGGGTAAACAAGTTGCAATATGACTATCATTTGTGTAATGCAAATTGCAAATAAAACTTTTGAGGTGTTATTTTCGAACAACAACGTGGTATCAGAATCATGAATGAAGAAACTTTATTTTAACATAAAAAGAATATCTTCGAAAGTATAAAAAGTAATGATCTACAATCTCTCACTCACATTCGAAGGTGACTAATGCAACTACCTCAAAGGAAGCATGAAAGATCTAACAAATTTCTCTCTAAGGAATTGATCAAGTGAAGAAAGTAAGACTTCAAACACTTAAGTTTTATTTTGAAGTTTCAAAAATAAAATAATCCAATCCATTTAAGTTGTTGTTAAAAAATGATGGTTGTTGTGAATAAAATAAAGAAGTATGGGGTGTGGCAGAAAAGTTTCTTTGCTTTTTAGTATCTAAATTTATTTATGTGGTTTGTGATATTAAAGATTTTAATAATTGGAGGGAAGATATCCTTCCAAGATTACTAAGGTGATGAAAAGATCTATCTCGAAATTCGAGGCGACTCATAAGGTCCATATACTTGTAAGAATCATTTCTCATGGGCATAATAATACTCGTCGAAACAATTTTGCATCGACATAGTATCACTCTACAATTATTTTAGTTTTCAAACCAGTTCATTGAGATCAATAAAATGATATAAGAGATAATATTTTCTTCTAAAGTTGATGGCCATGAATTAATTAAAGATGTTTATTAGGTGTAAAAAAAATGCCAAATAATATTTTGAGTTTTGTTAACTTGATGAAAGGGAATTTGATATTGAAAAATATCCACCCTTGGCCTATAGATCATTCAATTCAAGTAGAAATTTAATTGCTAATGTGCATATGACAAAAAAGAAGTATTATTTTATTTGAATCTTAAGACAATTGATACAATGATTGTGAATGCCAATCATGTGCAAGATGAATTATTGAGACATGCAATTTGAATCTTGATCCCAAATCAATGGAAGAAAAGAATATGCATGGTGCATGTGATCCCTTCAATCAACCATCTATAGCTTATGTTGTTATAAAAGGAGTCTATGGAGCAACCAAATTACTCTAACTTGCATATACAAATGTGTGTGGGCCAATTAATCCACCTTCCACTATAACAAAAACAATTTTTAGCGGCATTAAATATTGACATTAAGAAAGAATATTAACGTCTTTATCGACATTAGTTAAGTGCCATTAGAACTAATGTCGCTAAAGGCTTTAGGAACATATACAAAGAGTGAAAATTGCCGCTAAAAATACATATATAGCGGCAATTAAAAATTAAATGCCATTCATTATTTTTGTTGTAGGGGATAATGCCCAAGTACCCCCTCAGCCTATGCCCGGAATCTCAGAGACACACTTATACTATACTAAAGTCCTATTACCTCCCTGAACTTATTTTATTAATAATTTTTTACCCCTTTTCGACCTATGTT